TGGGCAATATTTTATAACACTCCTGTTATTCATAGGTGTGAGGTAGGGATGTGAGCACTCTGAAACCAGGAATAAGTTATGCATCCAGTGGTTTGAATTTAGGCCAAAGACTTGTGATTCCCTTTGAGATACATTGCTTTTGAGATACCATACTAATGGAGAGGTTGTGTTGTATCTGAAATATTTCGCTGTTAAGTGAATTCTCCCAAATGTAAAGATTGCTACCATTGCATATGATGGGACAGAATGTTGCTGTCATCTTGTTTGTGAGGTAGGCCCTGGACTATAGTAGGTCACATCAGTATATCAGCTGCTCTTATGTGCTGATTTTTGAACATATTTTTCTTTCCTTCAGCAGCCATATCTTGGTAATCATCTCTTCTTAAGGCAAGACTTTCTTCTGCAGAAAGGGTTGTCCCATCCACCATGTCCCAGACAGATTCCCCTTAAAAAGTGTCATGCTCTTCTGAAACTCTAATATTAGTTTATTGTAATCTGCATGTATGAAATTGTCTGTAAGCGGGGGAAAGAAATCACTGTATTTAAAAGGAGTTTATGGACAATGGTGACCAGGCTTTAAAACCTTGCCAATATCTGTATGTTAATAATTCACAAATATGGTTGGCGCTTTTTTTTTTTTTTTTAAGACCAATTCATCCTCAGTGTTCTTTCTACTTGTATTTTTTTCCAACAGCATTATATTAAATTGATCCAAATTAATCCAATAACTTGAAATTCCCATATTTGAGTCAGCATACAGTTTGTTAATTTGTTGCAACTACAGAACAAAGTATTTGCTATAACTACAGTCTTTAGGGGGCTGAAAGTCTGTAAGCAATGGCTTTTGCCAGTATAGAGAGGAGTAGTGAAGACTGTACTACCAGCTGGACTTGTTGGTAACTGACTTTTGCAGTCGTGGTTGAACATGGCAAAGAAAACTGTATGGTCATGTCATGTGGGCTGGGTTCACTGCTAGAAGTATTCAGTGCATGTTTGTCCTCAAGTGAGTATCAGTTCCTAGCAGGAGACTATTTAATAATGTCACTGGTTGAGGACAAACAGCCTTTCCATGATTGTTCTAGCCATCTACTCTACATAATTATTTCAGCGTTTTATGTGGTATTTCAGCTAAGGTCTGTCCTCACATTAAAAAGCTAAGTATTTCTTGTAAAAATATGGTTCTGTTAGCCTGAGACATTCAGGAACACATTCATCTTTTTCTAAAGTCATATCATGTCAGTATCGTTCTGAGATCAACAAATATCCTGCCTCTGAACTCTGAGATTGTCACATAAATCCTTGTTTATTCTTATGGATGGCACATCCTTGTATGTTTGCAGTATTACATTTCACCCCAGTATTACTTTATTCCCCTAAGCCCTCCAACTACCTTGTTTAGATGGATTATTTTCTTTATTGAAATTACCTCATTGACATTTCATGTTTCATAAGAAAAATTAATGAACAGGTTTCTACAAATCATGTTTCCCTAAGCAGCACAATGAGAAACGTTTTCCCTTTAATTGATTTCCTATTGATCATTTTATTTCTGTTTTATCTACCTTTTATCTAACCATCAGTTTTGCTCCCTAGGTGATGTCACTATAACTAATCAGTCAGAAAAAAAGCAAAAAAAAAGCTTATACTGTGTGATCAGAAGCTTGATCCCATTCTGCTAGAGCTGCAGTGATGTGCAAGTGTATAATGCATTTCTGTCAAACTCTAAACACTAGTTTTCTTCTGCATTGGCTTATTAAATGTTTCCTGTCCCCTCATTTCAACCTGTCTGATTGCCCTTATATACTTTTGAAGCAATTATTAGGCCAGTTAGGGCTGGATCTCTTCTCTGCAAATACATTCCATTATTTGGGATTCAGTTTGCTTATGAAATTTGTCTAAGCAGAGATAGAAAACACTCTCAAACAAGGAACCTCATTACATTTTGCCATAATAAATTTCCTCAGTTCATCGCAGTTGACTTTCATGAGCTAGTTCTCCTCGTTCTTCAGTATTTGTCACTTGAAATGCAAAATCTTTGCAAAAAATCTGCTTTTACTTATGGTTTCATAATGAATTTATGATTATGTTAGTAATGATTAATTTAAAGCTATAGGTAATGGTATAGAAAAACTTTCAGCATGGCAGTTGTGTATACTGAATTTGATCCACATGTGAATATTTAAGTTTGCAATCTTTTTCTCTTTTTCTTCTTTCTCTGATAGCTCACTCCGCTTTGTGACATTGATTGTTCACTTCATTTTCTCAAAAAAATACCTGCCTTAAAATGCTGGACAAGGCTTTTCAATAAGCTTGTGCAGCAGACATAAACTGTGTATGTGTACCAGATGGTATTTTGTTTTGACACTGCCTGTAGTTGTCATGTTTTTAATAATGTTTCAGTAGGAAAAATTTATGTGGTTAGATGTAAAGTCAGAAAGCAGACCAGAATTCAGTACATTTCTTCATAGTGATTTTTTTTTCCAAAAACTATTGAAAATCTATTTCCGTATCTTGTACTCTCATACTGTCAGAAATTTAAGTGTGATAACATATTAATTTCATTAAAAACCATCTTCTCAGAAACCATAATTTTTAGCATCTTATTAGAAGGACTGTCAGCAGAGGTCTCTGGAGATTCTTCTGATTACTTCATGTAGCATAACACTAGTAATTTCATACCTGAACTGTTCATAACTGAAGAGTTGTCTGCATTGACTTCAGCAAACTTTCCCTTTATGTTTGACATAGCCAGATTTTTGATGATTTTTCATGTGCTCTCCACTGTCTGTTCCTGAGAGGCAGTGGTGGTTATTAGTTATCCATCCCAGGGCTCTGAAGCGCTTTTCTTTCTTGACCACTGACAAAGTGAAAATTCTTTTGAGGATAATCACTATGTAAAGGATTAAGAAAGGAAGATACTGCCTCAAGGCTGGATCTTCTGGTTAGTATGTCAGCAGAGTATTTGAGTTTTAAGTATATTTAACATCATAAGCTACTTGGGATGAGACACTGTCTTCCTGCTTGTGTAGCACTATCCTAGTCACCTTGACCCTTTTAAGAAAGTATATTAACTTTTCACGTAACAAACTTGTTTCACATTTCTGAAAAGCAGTTTCACTAACCAAATGAAAGCAGAAGACTGAAAACAAAGATATATTTGGCTGTGGGATTCTGAGGCATCATTATTTTGCCATCTGCTATAACTTCATAGTCAAACTTGGGTGTTGCACTTTGGTAGCTCTCCTGAGCAGATAATCTGGAGACAAATAAGATAAAGAAATATGACAACTAAAAAAGATGTTCTAGTTGTTTCTGGTTTTTTAGATATTTTTTAAAATTGTTATTTCCAGCTCTTTCACATTTTTAAGATACCTATTCGTTTCTGCTATGCCTTTGCATCTGTACCTTCTTGTTTGTTAGCCTGTCTTCATGAACCTGATGTTTATGGACAGCCACCTAAACATTTCCTCTCCATGACAAAGTATGCTTCAGAAAATGAATGGTTCTGATTGATTCTGCTTGTGCGATTCCAGGATTATTCACCAATCAGTTTGAGTATCTGCACAAGATATCATAACTTAAATTATATCAAAATTTATAACTGAACTTAATTCTTTTTGGAGATTTTCCAGTGTACTTTTCCATACATTCTTCATAAAGTTCAAGCCTAGCTTTAAAAATTATGACTGCCTTATAAAGTCTTGCATAATGAGAAGTTTAGTTAATTATTATTGCTGTATGCTGCAAGGCAATAATTCTGTACAAACATTCTAATATAAATCTCATAAATGCAAAAGAAATTCTCATTATTTTAACTTGCTTCTGGGAAATTCTTTGTATTACACATACATCACTCTTTACCAGAGAAAATACCAAAGTTTCCTCTGCATTATAATGTTTTAAAATCAGCATTAGTGGCTACATATTAAAAAAAATCTAGTATTTTTGATAGATCAGCCTGACTTAATCCTTCAGAAACATGTGAAAGTTCATGAAGATCTTTGTATGTGTGTTTCTGTCTGAATAAAGCAAGAACCTGAGATAAGGGTTACCGTTGCTGTGGAAAGGTTAGATCTGACTGAGAGTAAATGCTTAAATCTTGTGACATCGATACTCTGCTTACACACACAATCTCCAGAGGTTAGGAAAGGATCTGGCATTTCTCTGTATTCTAAATGGCAAATAAAACCCCCAAACTTGCACCCTTTTTGCTTCAGACACCAAGTTTGCATAAAAATGGAGAGGTGAGAGCCATGAACCTGATGATATTCATCCTACTTAAACTGAGAACTGTTGTTTGGGATAATGAGGCTCTTATGTTGTATTGCACTTGTATGCCCAAATTCCACTGCAGAAGTAGGCAGTGAATTTACCAGTTTTCTCCAAAGCTTTGGTCTCATTCTGAGATGGTAAAAAGCATGCCTTCTTTAACAAATGAGCACTAATCTGATAGAAAAAATAAGGAAACGCTTAGCTTAGTCACATCAGGTTAAGTCTTTATTTTGCAGCCTTAAATGCAACATTACAAAAACAGAAGAGAAGACATTAAAGTAAAGCTAAGATTCCTTCTGTGGTCTGCCTTCAGTATATTATTGTGTTAAAAATGTGAAGATTATCTTTACATTTCAGACTCACAGAAGTAAGAAACAGAATAAGTAATGTACTGATCTCCTCTTTGGAAAAACCTTAAATGTCCATATCCCTAAAGGGGTCTCCGTTGGCTGTGCATCTATTAATAAAATCATGTTAGCTTATGGTACCAGGTGGTACTCCCCAGGTTCCTGACAGAAACTGAAGAAATTCTGTGCCTTCTGCTCATGCAGGTTGGGTCATTACTGGAGAATTCTGTTAAATATTTTAAAAACAGAAGAGTCTGAAGCTAAGGCTTACCAGTACTAAAAAAGTTATGAAGTAAAAGGGAACAGAAGATTTAGTCTGCTAAAGATGTGTTTGATATAAACAGTTTTCATGTTGTGATAACCTGTATGTGTCCTTCGCAGGGGAGGAGCTGTGCACCGGCCTCATTTCGGGCTGTTCCTTGGACTGTTCCTTCGGCTTCCAGACTGACATCCACAACTGTGAGATCTGTCAGTGCCGACCACGGCCTAAGAAGTGCAAACCCATTGTATGTGACAAGTACTGTCCCTTTGGATACTTGTACGTATTCTGATTCTGAAAAGTGTATTTAATACAATCCCTGTCCATACTGAAAATGTGCAAAAATCCAGGCATGTGTACTTGTGTTTACTTTGTGGCAAAGCAAGGGGAAATGCGGGAAAATAGATATGTTGTTACTTGATGTGAGATTACAGTATTCTTCAAAATGGATTTTGATCAACATGTTAAGAAACAGCAACTCAAAGAACAGCAGCAGATTATAAAAGCAAAGAAGTGCTTCAATTTTTTGAAGAATTTGATAAACAAGATGAGAAAGCTACTTACAAGTAATGTCTCTTGCACATAGCTTTTTAAAATTCTGTTTGCATGCTTTGATAACCTTTCATTTTATAGCCCATTTATTTTATTCAAATGATTATCTAGTATTTCAAGTTTCTTTTAATGTTGATATGACAGCAGAACTAATTTTAGTGAGACATTTCTGATAATTACTTTACAGAATTTGTGAAGAACAGTGCTATCTCTTATCTAAGTTTTTGTAAATGTGTTCAAAACCTGTATTTGTGGTGGAGTTCTTTCTCCATAAAAGTAGATATTTGTGGTATTTATTAGACTGTGGAGTAGGTGATGAAAACTGAGCAGATCTTTTGTCGCAGAAATTTCTTAGTGGTTAGTCTGGTACCTTCTATATATATTTTACCAATATATTTTATTTTTCATGTTATTGCCTGCTTTTCATAACAGTTTAATTTCTACCTCATGATAGCAGATCTTCAGATGATGTTCATATGCAATTTATTTCTTTAGGATTTTTAATGAAGTTGACTATATTTGCAGCACCTAGTGTGATACTAATACTCCTTTAATTTCTAATTCATTTCAGAGTTCTGTTTAACCCTTGTTCATAATTCATAATTATGCAATTCATAATTGCAGCAGGTTTTTATAATGGCAGTCTTTTGTGTAGTGTGTCCTTCTTAGTACACTGAGTAGTAGATGAGATAGGAAAAGCAAGAATTTTAAAGAGTTAAAATTGTTTTCAGTCATGTTGACTTCAGGAGTAGCTGAGAGTTATTTTTAGTTTCTCAAGTGACAGAAAGGAGAACAGGAGGGAAGTTCAAGAAAAGCAGTGTCAGTTTTGTCTTCCCAGAACTTTTGCCCAGTGGCTTCAAAGGCAAGGATGGCTGAAGATGGGTAGCAGAACAAGAGAAACCTGGAAGACTGAGCAGAAATAATGTCTGGTTAGCTGTCTCAGTTTTTTAGAGAGGATAACATTGCTTCCATTAAGTATCAAAGGAGTGAAGTCAATTAAAACAAGTACAAAGCATGCAAAATGGTTTAAAAATATCCAGGGAGAGTGAAGTTTGAGCCATGCCAGTGAACAGGCACAAAATACAGGTCTCTTAAAGCTGGAAGACAAAGAGACAAATGGTGTTGAGGTGTCTGAAACTGAGGGAACTTCACAATGGAATCAGCAGGAAGGGTGGCTGGAATAAAACAACAGCAATAAAGAAATACAACTTACAACTGTATTCAAGAATTTACTCCAAATCGCCATATAATCCTCTTATGCTGTAACTATTTCATAAGGGGCAGTGAAATCCTTTGCACTAGCTTAAATTTGATTTTGAACTTTGGCAAAGAAAAGAGAAAAAAATCTGAATAACAGCCATCATAATATATTTAATTGCTATTTGCAGCAAAGATGGAATCCATTTTTTTTTTCCACAACATCATCAGTAGCTAGTACAGGATGTGAGTTCAGTAGTCTCCACACTGTTTATGTGAACATATACTTTAATTTCTGCTTTGTATTTGTGTTTTAAAAATTAATGTCTGTTAAAATTGTTTTATAAACTGATATATCAGCAGATTAATCAGATGTGATATTTAAAGAGTGCACTAAGGGTGGTAGATTTTGGAGTTTATACTGCTTCCATACCATAGCTCTTAATTTTTTGCCTGTACCAAGGTCAATAACTTAAAGCTATCAGGACAGAGTCTGAGAAGACTGCTTTCATCCACGTGCTCAAGGATGTGAATGTTTTTGCATAATAGCAGAGACAGCTGGTATGAACTCCAGAATTTTTTATAGTTTACTTAGTGTGATTGAGTATTGTTCTGTTTGAACAGGAAAAGCTTTTTTTAGTTTTAATATTACAAGTGCATAAATAAATTGTTATTTTCAAGGCCACTTGCTTTAGACTGTTCGAAAGTTATGAGAAAAACATTGAGTAAGGTCTATTGAATGTCTTTTGTCGTTGTGTTTTTTGACTTATACTGACATACCTTGAATATGTTCTTAAAACAAATTCTATGTGTTTTCTTTCCATTCTTTGACTCCACTCTATTTTTTGACTTTTCTGTGGTGTCTAAAGCAATCCAGTTTGTTTCTCCTTTTGATTTCTTTCAATTTACTACTGCTGGTTTTCTTTCCTGGGAATCCTAGTGTAGATGTCACACTAAATTGTTAAAAATATTTTTCTTCAGCTGATAAGGACTATTCTGAACTATATTTAGCAAAGTCATTTACTATTAATCAGATTAAGGTTAAAAAGCATAAATATTGAATCTTGCAGTTTGCTGCTATTCGTTTGATGTCCTAGACATGATAGAATGACACCTTGATCAGACATGGACTCACAGAGTATCAGATCTGACACTGACTCACTAAGTATCACATCTGGACCATTTAATAACTTGCCCAGGCATTCCCAGTCTCAGACATGCAGTCTGCCTCATTCAGGGGAGTTGTGGGAGTTTGGTGACAACATCACACAGGTCAGGACTTCTCCACAGGCTAGCACTAAACACACAGTTTATCTATAAATAGAAAGCATTTAAAAAAAAAAAAAAAAAGCGTTCAGCCTCTTACACTGTATCTTGTAAAGAGCAGTAATTTTAGTCTATAGTATCATGCATTTAGTATACTGATGTACAGAGGAAAATTACAAATTTCTGTATGTGTTTTCTGTATTTAAGTAAGCTGAAACACACTTTTTTTTTAACTAAAGTGTGCACAAAACATTTTTATTAGAAAATCTATGAGAACTATATAGTAAAAGCATTTTAGAAATGACAGCACATTTTAATGGGCATAGTATGGTAGTTGTGAGTAAGATAAAGATATTTTAAAAACACATTGATGCCGAGCTGATGCCAGTGTTCTCAGGAACCCTGTCTTTGGGATGAACTTCCCCATATATTTTTGTACACCTGAAAAAAATTTGAACTTTAAACCCTTTTAAGCTAATTGGAAAATAGTCTTCAATTTAAATTCTGGGTTTACATGTAGAATGTAAGTTATGCACAATGCTTGGCTAGTATTTGTAAAATGATGAATGTTTAATGAAGTCTTCAGATAATTTAATTTTTTAAAAATTGGAAGTGAGCACCCTAATCTTGTCATTCTTTACAAAATACATGAATAATTGAACCGAATGAAATTAAGCATTTAAAGATAACTATGTATGGAACTGTTTGTAGGATACAGGGCTAAAATTGTGGCAAGAACTACTTTAGGATCATTTCACTTCAAGTCTTACTTTGGTGCTAAAATTATTTAGATTTGCAGTTGTATAGTACATGTGTTCACTATACTGCTACTGTGCCAAATTCTTTTTTAAAATGATGTGCTGTATTTTAATGTTAACATCATAACAAGCCTGTTATGATCATTAAAAACATGGGATGTAATGGAAGACAAATTTCTATTTTAATGTAAAACTTCAGTCACAAATAGGAGACGACAGAAAAGTTAAAAGAAAAGTATATTAGAGAGTTAAAAGTTAAGGAGTAATCATCATGATTGTGATTTTTTTTTTTTTAAGATTGTCAAAGGTTAGCAACTGGAAGTACTGAGGTTGTGCATCTTGAAAAAAACCAAAACCTTTTCATAATTGTCTGAAAAAAAACTGCTGAAGAGCTCACTGGTTTAAAATTTTACATATTAATGGAAAGAAGCATTCCTTTGGATGGAATAGGAAGACAGAATGTCTTTCATTCTCCATCCTACTGTGTGACAATTTGTTGTTCTCAGCCTTCTAACTAAAAATTAAATAAAGCTTTCTAGAGTTTGAAGTCAGGCTTTCTAGAGATCTACATAATTTATTTCTCCTCTATCCTTCTAGATCATGTTCTGTAACTTCCCATGTCTTTTCTTTGTTTAGTACATCTGTGCCTAGAGTTTGAATGGTATTTTCTGTCTTCCTGTAAAAAAGGCAAGGAAATATTCAATATGGGATCCTCTAAAGCAGCATGTTTATGGTGCTGTGAAAAGGTGCTGTTAGGTGGTGCTCTAGACTCCTGCCTAGCTTCACCAGGAAGCTTTGGAAGCATTTGAGTTCTTGATTCTCTGTACTCTGTTTCCTGAAAATTTCTCTAGTTTTACTATTTCAAAACATGTTACTGTGTGTTTGCTACTATTTATATGGGTTACTGGCATTCTATGTGCTAGTTCTACGTGAGCTTTTTGTCTGCTTATTTAACACTTCTGGAAATCTCTCTATAGTTTAAATATACAAGATAGGAAATCTACTCTAAGTTACTTGTTGTTGGAGGAAAAAATTTAACAGTGATTTGTGTTATAAAAACGTAATAAATATAACAGAATCCTACCTACTCCTTTGATATCTTCACAGTTGTAGAAGGTTTTTTTTGCATTTTTTCACTTGAAAAAAGAATGGATCATCAAAAGCAGTCATAAGCCCATACATCTGTATTATCTGCTGTGGCTTGAAAGTGCAAATGCAGAGATTTTGCCAGTCATGTGGAAAGAGCACATGCCAGGGTTGGAGACCTGTACCTCCCATAGAACCACTGAATCTAAGGGTGACAATTAACAATAATTTTCTTTAATTATCAGTCACTTTTTTAGGGGATGCTTTTGCTTTAAAGATCATGACATGTAGATACTTAAAGTGTCTTGCTGACCTTTTACAAATTATTTTGGTCATCTAGGAAGAACAAGCATGGCTGTGAAATCTGTCGATGTAAGAAATGCCCGGACCTGCCTTGTGGTAAAATCTGTCCGATGGGCTTCCAGCAGAACAGTCACGGCTGTGTTATCTGCAAGTGTAGAGGTACGTGCAAGTGCATTACCACCTCGAATTACGACTTGTTTTCAAAGCAGTTGGAAAACAGAGCAAAAGAAAAGGAATACTGCACAGAATATGTACAAATTGAAATATGGTAGCTGGTGGGGGAGTTGGTTCTACATTGTTCAAAGGATTGTATTGTTTTGATGGTGTTTGTTATTATCTGTGTGCATCTTGGCTTCAGCAGAAAGCCTCAGCTTTGCTTTCATCTCCCATTAAAAAGTCACAAAAAATTTGTTATCATTAATAAAAATTGGATCAGGCTCTTAATAAGCAACTGCTAGAAATAAGCTAGTCGAAGGCTTTTTTTTTTCAGCAGTGATGTTCTTCTTGGCTTCTTCACCATTATCTTTTTTTACAAACAAGTTTTGGATTTGATAGATATCCTGTATATCGTCTAAAATGGGAGTGCTGTTTCTTGGACACTTTTCAAGCAATTGTAATGAACAATGAGTAGAGAGAGCACTTGCCCAGCAGAAAGGACTTGGTATTCTTAAGTTAAAAATTTCACACATTCCACATACCGAGCCTGTAACCATCAAGTTCAAGGTGGATATTGAGATCAGATGTTCATTAGTTGCTTTATATTTGTGCTGCTTTTAGCAGGTCTGTTTTTTAAGATATTTTCAGATTCTGTTTTACATTAGTCTGGGTATCAGACTTCCTTCATAGCTCATCTCCATGTTTTACATGTAATAACTTTTTGTTTGTGCTCAGTCTCTTTCTGATCCTCACTGCTCTTTCATGCTTACTTTTTTTGATTCTTACTTGTGTGCTTTGATTTATAGCTATAGTCAAGTAAGTTTGATTACTTTTCCATTGTTTTGTGTAATGACTCTATTCTTACCATTTTTAACAGCTATTTCTTTTGCATTTTAAAAAATCATAAAATGTAATAGGAACAATGCTATGGGAACATAGCACTGGAAGAAAGTGTATGAGTTCCTGAAGTCGGTCGCCTGTAGCTAAAGGCAAACATGCAAGCATATAAATCAGAAATATCCAACATTATCTTTTCTCTACATGTCATAATACACTGCAAACAGTTATAACAAAACTTTAAGACTTCTAGCAAAATGAAAGTTGAAATGTTGCAGATATGAGAAGCAGAGAGACATTTCACTGACATAAGCTACAATATATGACTTTTACTAGAAATTAAAATTTTAAAAATTAAATAAGAAAGGGTAACTGCTGAAGGGCATTCCATTGAGATAATTCTTATCACTCAGCTTGTCATTTGTCTCCATGTTCACAATCAGAACACTTTTCTCTATTGTCGTGATGCTGTGACAGAACGTACACAGAGTGTTCTCTTAGGTGTGCCATAATTGCATCCCAGACTATAAACAGATGCAATTCTTTGGTCACTAATTATGTGTATGCACACTGTGAAGTGCTTTCCTTAACAAGGGTGAATTTTAAAATAAGCACAAATAATTAGTGAAATTAACTTGATACCTCTCTAAGTATTTATTGTTGTCATGATCATAAAGATACCAAGCCATGAGAATATCATTTCAACATCATGTCATTAGCTACTTGTCAAAGAATAATTAATCACCAGTATGTTCCAGAGAAGATGTGAGTCCTTGTTAAAATTTTGACCCAAAATGCCTAAGTAAGAGGAAGGTATGGGTAAATCCTCTGCCTGTGAGTTAGTTCCGCTGCCTAAATTGCTTCTGCCAGAAATAGCTTACAGCAGGATTAATAGAAGTAGGACCATAGAAGTACAGGGCTGAGATAGTCCTTTGGAAAACTGAGAGTCCATTTCTTTGACCTTGAATAAAATAGAGTCTATCTGGATAATCCTTGACAGATGTTTGTCTAAGATTTAATTTATTAAGAATCTCCACTTTCAAAAGAAAAAAACAAAACAAAACAAAACAATCAAATTTCTCTAAAATAATGTTTTCTTGTGGCTAGCAATATATGACATTTTTAAATAAATTTTCTAAAATTTCTGTCTCCCTTCCTACACATTGAACTGGTTAGTTTTTGTCCTAAGCTTAGAAGACATATACAACAGCTAAGCACCATTCCCTTTAGAATTTTTGCAACGTTTAAGGAGTTGCAACTGGTGACCCCTAAACATTTTTTTGACGGGGTGCATTTCTAAGTCAAATAAACCCTGTTACTGTGGTTTCTCATCACTGTTTAAAAACTTGATATTGTACTTTAGCAGTGGTAAAATCTTCGAACTACTAGAGTAGTAGTGTTGCATTTAAATTTACAGTGCTCCTGTACTGGTATCTTAGATTGAACTTGCTTGTTCTGCAACCTTAACACATTACTGACTCCTTTTTCCTTGTAAACTACTGTATCTCAGATCATTTCAACCATACCTTTAGTTAGCCAGTTATTCCCATTTTGTATTTAGACATTGGGTTTCTTCAAGTATTAGCTTTTGTACTAATTGTAATTAAAAACTGAAAAGTGAAAACAGTCTCGGTGTGTGAACTTAATTTTGAATAGTTGCCTATGTGCTTGCTGTATTTCTCCAAATTTTGGAGCATACCTTAGAATACATCAGGAAAAAAGTTTGATTACATTGGATACTTCATTTATTTAGGAAGGGGAAGGGTTTTATCATCTAGGACTTCCCAGTGTCAATAATAATTTCAATATAGACCAGTATTCCAGTGAAATTAAGTCAAATCAGAATTTATATAATCTGATACTAAGGTATAAAAGTATAGTAACCGAATTTAAATTTTTTATAATATTTTTGTTCATGCAATAGGATGAAGACTGTTCTAAGAAGTACTTTATCCTTGTGCAGCATTTATTTTTAATTCATAAAATGGTATGCTAATGTAATTTCTGTGTATTGGCTTTCTATTCTGAAAACCAGCCTCAAACTTTGTACCATCTGCTTGTTAGACCACTTTTGATAGATCTGCTGCAGCTGAAGAAGTGCTGACCTACATGTTAGTGTGTAAAAAAAAAAAAAAAAAAAAAAAAAACACACACCCCAACCAACCAATCAAAAAGCCAACAAGCAAAAAAAAAACAGAACAGAAAAATGGTTACTAAAATTACATATAAACATTGCTACTTTTCATACATCATCTCTGTTTTAAAAGAAAATAAAATGAGGAACCTAATACAAATAACCTTATATATTATATGTGTGTCAGCAGAGCATCACTGACATACCAATGAAAACAAGTCAGTTCACTGACAAACTGATCCTAAATCCTTCATCATAATAATGATGTGGGTAGGGGAGCGTTGGGCTCTAAATTCACTCAGCTGATTAACAAAGAGTATATTGAGGCTGAATCCTGCAGCACTTAAATACCCCTTAAGATGCCAATGAGACTTTATCCTCCCTGGACCAACTGCCTTGTGTGTTCCAATGGAGTGCAACAGTCCAAGCTACTGTATTCTCATCTCAGTAAAAGCTAAAAAAAATGAGGGATAAAATTCTCAAAGCAGTTCTCTTCCAAACATCTCATTTATCACAGTAATATAAACAAATAATTTCTCACAAGAAGTACTTTTTGTAATATTTCCAATATCTACCTGTTAGCATTTGTTTGTAATTTTTTATCATTCGTAAGACCATCCGTAGCTCTTGTAAATGCTTTTATATTCTACTTGCTATCAGATACATTATAGAAAATCTAATATCCTGTGATATTTAAATATTTCATTTGAAATATGTTTCATGCTTTCTCCTATTTCCCTCCATTGCATTTCTCTTTTTTTCTCATGTTATTTAGACAGTACTGCATTTCTGGTGATTAGTATAGGTTCAACAGAAAGAAGTCATTATATTTTCCAAGGAAATAAATTCTACTACATCCTATCATCGCCTTCAGTATACCTTTTAATTGTTTCCTGTGTGTGGTTACTTTATTTCTAAGTGTAAATGACAGAACTTGGTCTTACATGTGCTTTAAAAATAAATGCAATCCAGGCATGAAGTTGGTGTGTTTCTTCCTAAGCAACAGATGCTTATCAGGACACCTCATTTTTCTTTGATTTTGTGCAGAGGCAACGGCTTCTCTCATGCCTCCTGTTAAAACAGGATCTTGCCTGTCGATGGATGGACGCCGACATGAGAATGAGGAGAGCTGGCACGATGGCTGCAGGGAATGTTACTGTCACAATGGACGGGAAATGTGTGCCTTGATCACCTGTCCCGTTCCTAATTGTGGCAACCCCACCATACATCCAGGGCAGTGTTGTCCATCGTGTCCAGGTAATGTGATTTCTTTTACATCCTTTGTAATCAAGTTTCATTTCACGTGTTCTGTTTCTTAATACATGAAAATAATCTCATGCATCATTCAGTAATAGGTACAGATGAAGGCTTCTATGCACAAATATAACATGATTACTTGCTGTCGTTAAGATCTCAGTTGTGAAAAATAGGAATTTAAAAATTTAAAGCGTATACATGTTGTGGGTCCTAACTTGTTAATCTGTGACACACTGAAATCTTTAAACTAGTAAAAGTTTCTACTCTGTTATCTATGATAGCAAATATTGTAATAAGCCATTACATTTTCTTTTTTTGATTTTAAAGTGGAGTCTTATTAAAATTTATTTCCTGATCTATGTTTCACAACCCCTCAAAGGTGTACACAAACAGGTGTCTTAAGTAATTGAATATTATGGTTTTGTGTTCTGAGGGAAAGCTCCTGTAGATTATTTCAATGCTTTCAGTGGGAAGGCCAAGTACAATTCATGTTGCATTCCAATGCAATTTTAGTAAGTGTTAATATGAAAAACATCTATGAAAAGGTATGGGTAGGGTGTAGGATTAATGCTCTGTTTTCAGAACTATTTCTACAGTATTTTATATGCTAGGTAGATTAATTTGTAATACAGTGATATTGTCTATGGTTTTATTGGAAGTCATGTTACAAGTAGGAACAATTGAGGCTCATGAAACTTTTATGAATAGAAAAACAGTAAGACAGCACTGGGAGAGTATGAGCAATTATGAATTGTTTCAAATTCTTTGTAAAGAACAGGAAACCCTAAGGGCAAAATAAATAGCCAGATCCACTTTCTGAAAGTGACAGAGAAGAGCGCATTCTCCCTGTGACTTAAGATAACCAATCTCTTTAGATTGTTTAGACACATGGTGATCTCCAACCCAGTTCACACCTTGTGGTAACTGGAAAAATATAGTCCCCAGAGAGATGCACGACTTCAGAGGTTTGTCTCTCTTTCAGCCTTTTCACAAGTATTTTAGGGGATGGTATACTTCATAGGGATGGGGACAGGTTAGCATGTCAGTTCTTTCATTAGATAAGCTCAAGATTCAAAATTTTGATGGGTTGATGTTGATCTCTTTTATAAAAGAGCCATTGCTTGCCCAGCAACGTCCATTCCTTTAAGAGAGAGTATCTGCATAGGCTTCTCTGTCTGACATTGTTCCTGCTTTCAAGACACTGGTCACCTAGCTTCTGTGTTAGCAAAGTCATACTTGGTGTAAACTTTTACAGTGCTAGGGCAGACACAGCATTTTAAAGTGATTGCATATATACGTATATGAATAAGGCCAAATTAGTCTCAATGTGGTTTTGTTTCCCTCACTGAGGTCTTATATTTGTTAGAAATGTAATTCCAATTTTATTTTGCAATTTATTGATTCCCCACTGATGATTTTAAATAAATATCATGGATTTTAATAGATAGGAATGTGGTTTGAAATTGTGAGACTGTGAGCATGTCACCCAAATGTATTTGTCATAAGGGTATTGAAATAATTAGCAGTCCTCATGTACTGAGTTTCAAATTGCACTTTTGACCTATCAACAGGGTACGGGCAGCTCTCACAGGTCATTTTCCAGACTGAAAAAAGTGGTTACATTCAGTTCAATATTTAATTAGTTGTCAACAGAGCAAGAGATACCTTAACTGCTACAATGTTCCTTATAACCATGTTTCTATAAATTAAGAGGTTTAAATTGTTCCTCACAATGCTCATGAAAAGCTCCAGGTTTCCTGTAAGATTCACAAAGCCATTAATTGCTAGTGTTTTGCAGAACCATGCTATGCAGAAAGTGTACATTTGTTTGACTAGTTGCTCCTTCGGGTTAGTAGTAGTAAATTTGCAATAGTAGTTTCAAATTTGTAGCAATTCAGTTGCAGTGATATTTCATTATCAGGGCTGCTAAGGAGGCAGTGGGCAATACCATACATACAGCAGTAATATCTGGTTATGCTTTTTTGATAAAGAACTGTAGCAAAACAGGCCTGTGACTTTGCAGAGAACTAAATGCAAAGCAGATGACTCAGAAAATTTCCAGAAAAAAATTAGCATTGCTTTTGCCATGGTGAGTTAGGATGCCATTGCATAAAATGTAATATATTGTTCCAGCTGAAATAAAAATCAAACAGTGACAAGGCAGCAGACAAGCAGTCTCATTTCAGGTAAATTCTGCTGAATCAGGTATGTGGTTCATAAATCTAAGCAATTGGAAAAGCGTAGCATAAGCAAATCAGTGAAAGATAAAATAATTCCCTGAAAGAAAAGCATGAGTACTTTGTGAATAAAATAAAATCAGCCAGAGTCAGCTTCCTTCGGTTCTACTGAACATTGTCCAGAAATGAGAACAACTAAGTTGGGTGTCTTCCACGTGGCAGTGTCATAGAGCAAAGGGCACAAAAGCCATTTTCCAGGAAAGTACAGCAGTGATGAAGAGAAGCCACAAATACTTTGTAGGCTTTGGCTTGCCTAAATAACTAGAGGAGCTGCTGTCCACTTAATTTTTCTCTCCTTAACCAAGATATTTGGATTAGGATGATGTTCACATTAGGCATCATTATAATTAAGTAGGAGGGAAAGAAGGACCTTCTGAAAGTGATCTAGAGATGTAGCATACTTAGGAAGTCACTTTCTCTTCCCCTTCATTCATAGCACAGGAAACGTGATGCAGTTCAGTTCTTAACAGAGGCACCTAACTTAGCTATCTAATGTTAAATGGGTTGAATTCAGGCTGAAGGACATCACTTATAAGCCTGAAGCTTCACTTTGCAGCTTGTAGATTTCAAACTCATGGCTTCTGCACCTGAATAAAACATGCTGTGTCAGGTATCTCAATATCTATACACAGTGCATGGAAAAACCTGGTGGACTTATTCCAGGTCCAAATCAACCAGTGTAGTAAGCAGGCAACTATTACTGCCCTTACTGCACCTTATGTGGAGTAGTCTTCAAAGTGTTTTAAGCAGGTTACAAACACGCTGTTTGTGGCATAACCTTTTCTTGATGATAAGTGCTTAAACACCCTCAAGGTGCAGGGTAGGATTCTTTTATTCTTTCAATACGCCAAGAGGTAAAGAGAGTTCCCCCATTTTTAATGCCCTCTGAAGGGCTGAAGGACCCTCATGCTGAACAAGGGACACAGTTTCAGTTCCTTTCTTTACATGAAGGAAGACAAATCTGTTCTCCAAACTGCTGGAGTGAATCTTTTAGCCAGGGCTGCAGAGGTAATGTAATTAATTGTTTGAAAAGGCAGTAAGGTTCATTTGGTAAGATACAGTTACTGGAAATATGAATCTACACACTGTGGCAGCTCCTTGGGTCCAGTTTTCAAAGATGGCAGATTTCTTTTTTTTCTTTTTTTTTCCTTCTTTTTTGTGCAGCATTGATGAAGCACTTCCACCAGTGTTAAGTGCTTATATGTTTTTAGAGGACTGGGTGGGGGATTCTGTGTTTTTTCTTTTATGGTGGTTTGGGGGGAGTTTGTTTGTCTGTGTGGGATTCTTGGGGGGTTAGTTTGTTTGGCTGGGGTTTTTTAATGTAGCATCTGTTGGGAAACTTAACTTGAACCTGGACTTCCTTAATCCCAGAGGAGAAGCATACTTACTCATCCTTTCAGGAATTGCACTGATACTAACATTTAGCAGTTAAGAAACTGTCTAATGAGTAGAATTTTAACAGTTACCTCTTGGAATTCCTACATCATCGGTTCGTTTGATTTTTTCTGAAATGCCAAATATGCTTGAAGTTACATCTGATTTATATTAACTGGTCTTTTTTCAGAATGATTCTCAAGCTCTTTCTTGTTTATCTTTTTCCCATTTTCCATGAGATGCAGGTGACAAAGTCAAAAGAGGTTCATCAAGAATAATCTATAGCTGGTTTTGTTATGTGTTATTTTCAGTAATAACGTATTGAAATATATTTTCAACAATAACAGAAATTCTTAATCTTGGGTACAGTTGTTAATTATTAGAGTCACAGTTGATTTTGCCTGTCTTCCAATTCTGTTTTTCCCAGATGAAATAATCGTGCAAAAGCCAGAGCTCACCAGTCCATCGATCTGTCATGCTCCTGGTGGAGAATACTTTGTAGAAGGAGAGACATGGAACATTGATTCTTGCACACAATGTACATGCCACAGTGGACGTGTCCTGTGTGAGACTGAAGTCTGTCCACCTCTTCTTTGTCAAAACCCCACCCGCACACAGGACTCCTGCTGTCCCCAGTGCCCAGGTATGTGCTGACAACCAGCTTTCATCAGAGCCCTTCCCTGATCTGAGAATATGATGTTTCAGTATGAGAATGTTTCTGTATGTGCACAGTTGGGTGTTGAGGTGCCTTTGTTTTTAAGTAGTGAGGAGTGAGAGCCTTCAGGTCTCTAATTCAAATGCCACCTGACTGTGTGCAAGAGAGGTCTTAAGTGTAAAGAGGAGCTGTGGCCCTGAACTTTGAACGTCTTTTAAGGCAACGTGATAATGTAAGAGTTGTGTGAGAACCAGAATCCTTAGTTGAAAGGTTTATGAAATAGGCACTGGAAACATGCACTCGTTTATGGAGACATGCAGGATTAGAGAAACTTTGAAAGCAGTCAAAGTGTTAGGTAGATACAGGCTTGTTTCTTTTCCTTTCTACATGCCTTGGTTTCTATGAACCTCTTTATTACTATCTTGTCTATTTGGGATTTGGTCTCAAAAATACTTCTGTTTGCTTTTACCTTCACATGGTATGATTTGAGAGTGACTTGAAGGCAGCTGAGTAATATCAAAGCATTCCAGCGCAGCAGGTGTGCCAGATTCCTCTTAGACTGCCTCACAGTGTAAAGAAGATAACAGGATTTGCTTTCCCCCCAAGGAAAGATATTTGATTATAAATGTACATGAATTCCTATTTCACGTAACAAATGGGGGAGTTTATTGCAGTGGAAATTTACTACAAACCTGTGAATTGTATGTAAACTTGCTGAGAAAATATGTCTTTATTAAAACCAAAATCTAAAAATTTTACTTTAGGAAAAAAGAAAAGTTAGGTTTTGCTGTTAGGTTTTGCTAAAGAGTGTTGTTTTGGGTGTGGAGGTTTTTTTCTGACAAAATATTTTCAGCCAGTTCTGCTGCCTTCCATTTTTCTCATTATTAATAACAATGACTATTTGCTTAACTTGAAAATACTGTTTTGAAGGAGTTGATCTTTCCTCGCTGGCTATATAATGAACTTAGTCTCATAGATTAATGCAGTTAGATTGAGAACCTGATCTGAATACTCTTATGAATCATTTATTTTCTTCTCCTTCTCTTATACTTTATCTGTACATACAGTCCTGTTTCTTGATCCATAATGTCTGTTAAGATACAGCTTAATTGCAGAAATAGGTCTTCTCCATGGGTGGGCATGAGAACTAAAGGAAACCCATTGGCATCAGGCTGCAGCCTGATCAAATTCCATTTGTTTCTCAACAGCTTATAATTAGCTCATCTAAGTCCACTAGTGAAGGTGACAGCAGCATAATAGCTTTTCACTTTGCATCATTCTAAGATTTGGACTGTCATGGTAGAAGCTGGGATTCAAGTTTTAAATTTAAAATTTAATCTCTCTTGTTTAAGATGAATTCCTATGTCCCTTGCAATTCAGAGCATTCAGTGTGGCTTTTTGAGGTGCTGACTCTGATGGTGATTATTTTGCACTTTGCTGTCCTTTTTCCAGTGTGTTTTGTTTGGGGGTTTTGATTTGGTTTTTTTTTTGTTTGGTTGGTTTTTTTTTTGGAAACTCAATAAAGGTCTGCATATTATGCTAGAGCACATCATGAGGTCTTCATCACATGTAAGGACTGAAGAGGCATGAGGCTCTGTCCTAGTTTTGTTGAAGTAGTGAGCCAATGTGTTCCATTGTGTTCTTCAAGAGTGAACTCTTTGTTAAGGAACTATGACAGAAGTTAGTTAGCCACTGTAAGTTAAATAACAATCTGTTTATATTTACAGATGAGCCTCTTCAGCCCTCCTCATCAAGCAACGAGAGCATGCCCAGTTACTGCAAAAATGATGAAGGAGATATTTTTCTGACAGCTGAGTCCTGGAAGCCCAATGTCTGCACTAGCTGCATTTGCATGGATGGTGTGATTAGATGCTACTCTGAGTCTTGCCCACCGGTATCCTGTGAGAGACCTGTTTTGAGAAAGGGACAATGTTGTCCTTACTGTATTGGTGAGCAAATAAAAATAGTTAACTTGCTGTTCCCTTCTCGGGAGTAAGAAAGAAGTTTTATTACCAAATTGAAATATGTTTCCCTTGGTTTGGGGAGATGCAGTTTGTGCCTCCAGTTGAACTGGAGAGTGAAATATGCATAGGGAGCTTTGAGGATCATGATTTGTGGTTTTTTAGGCAGAAGTGCATGGAGATACACATGTAATTTGCCTACAAACTCAAGAGGACATCCTCCTGAAATTTTGGTAATACACCTTATTAGATGAAGACATTACACAAAAATTATTTTTATTTAAAGGAAGATTTGCCAGGTAACATAGCTTATGTCAAGATTTGTGTGATAATATGAGGAAAACATTAATTATGAGTGCAGAAGATAAGGTGTGAAGCATTATGAAATTCCATGGAACTAGAACTGTGGAACTAGAACTACAGTGGATGCTGTAGATAGTGGAAATTGCCAGGCATTTTTAAAGTTGCAGAGTTTGATATTATTGAGCACTTTTTTGTTGTATGTTGAATGGGAGTATTTATTTAAAGATTACTTTTTTTGTGAGTTCATAGTAAGTACAAAGGCTGTAGAATGGAAGCTGCTAATAGAGAAAAATTGGATAATGTACTTCCTGAAATTGTCTTTGCAGCATTGTTGAAAAGCATGCAGAGCTTACTTACCTTCATTTCCAAAAGTAGCAGGGGGAGATAGAGTAGACAAGAGTTCCATAAAAAGGAATATAGTAAAATTGACGGGCTTTAAATATTTAACTGAACATGTGAATCAACTTGCCCATCTATAAACAATACGATTCTCCTTTAGAAACATGTCAGAAAGGTTGTGAAGTACTTTCAGACATGTACCATTGACACAACCCTTGAAATCTTTAATTCATTGCAGATAAACCAGCTTTAATAATAGATGATACAGTTTTATATGATGTACAAGGAATTCCATGAAAGAATGCCTGAAAAAGTTACAAAGTATCCAATTTTCAGTTGCCTTTGGAATCATACTTAGATTCCTGATGACGACATTTTGAGGGGAAAGTTCTATGTTATCCTATCACTATTTCTTCTTGTGGTTTGCATAAAAAATGGAGAGAAATTAGAATTTCTTTGGCTTTTAGACTTTCTGCAGGCTTTTCTTCCAGTGATTGACTTTGAGCCATAAAAATAAATTTTAATTCAGAAAACATATTAACATTAAAAAAAATACAGAATGTATGCAGAGTTGGGCAATCAAACCAGTAGAGTCAGAACATAAGTCTTAGTATTGTAGTGGAGAATGCTTTGGGTGAGGAAGGGACTAGTGCCATGAACTACAAAAATGAAACCTCTAAAACTTGTTCCCTACACCTTGCATGTCAAGTTTGCAAATATATACACACAACATGTAGATACGACTTTAATTAATTGACTTTGAATCCTTTATAGTTGCATAATATTATGCTTAGATATGAAGATTTTCAATTATGATACATTTTAATAATCCAAGTTGTACTATGTTTTGTGGTCTAAATAACTGAAATTCATGGGAACTCTTTTTTTTTTATGGTTTCTATGAACTATATACTCTTGCATGTAAGATTAGTCAGGTTGTGCACCTAATTTTTGTCTTCCTGGTTCTTACTGGTCTACTCTTCATTTCTTGAGAACTGTGAAGCACATCTTTGTACAGATTCTTCCTACCTGTTTTCATGTAATAGTTGATAAAATGTTTAGAATCATAGAATCATTTAGGTCAGAAAATACCTTTAAGATTGAGTCCAACCCAGCACTGCCAAGTCTGCCGCTAGATCACATTCCCAAGTGCTGTGTCTATACATCTTTTAAGTGCTTCCAGGAGTGGTGACTCAATCACTTCCCTGAGCATAGGCAAACTCTGTGGAAACAGGCCTTCTTCATTGATTGGAATTTCAAAAATTATGTATTCTTTTAGCACTGTATTTTATTCTGCTTCTTTCAGGATTCAGTGTGTATAAATTCAAATTAAAAATTTTACAGGCCTTGTTGTTTGAATCCTCAAAGTCATCCTGTGTATTTAACATTCTTCTTTTTCTTACAAAGACAGATTCATTTGGAAAGATAATCTTCTAGTTTAGAGAGGATAAAGGGGTGCATCTATTTGATTAGAGACAAGATCACTCTTCTGCAGAAAACAGAGCAATGACTGTTTACCAGATGAGACTGATTTTCTAGTACAGCTAGAGGAAATTTGAAAGAAGCAGGAAGAGCAAGACACTATTCTGAACTGCGGTTTTGTATGTGAGTTTCTTACTGCAAGACTTGTCTCCACTATCCTTGAGCACCTGTTGGTGTTGTGGTCTTCATCTTCATCCTTGTTTATACTTGCATAGGGATGGACACCAAAATAGGAGACACATACAGGATAATACTTTATTAGGACTTCAAAATTTCCTCTTGAGGTTTAATGGTACAACACTGCTATTGTTCATTCTTCTAAAATCTATTTACTGTATTAAATTGTGATGTGTTCCTCACAAACTTGCAAAACTCTGAGCAAGTTAAAGGACTTTTCCAGACAAACCAGCTGCTAAATTGAAGAAGGTATCCTAAGTGGGGCAAGGTAGCACTTTGGAAGCAAATCAACCCTGAGTGCCCAGGCAGTACACAGCTTTATGTCTGCATAGGCAATGAGCAGGAGAGGAGTGTTTGGGCTGTGTGCCTCACCCTTGTCCCCAGCCACATCTGCTTGCTGACTAACACAGGGCTCCACTCACTCTATGTCAACATGCACATCATCTGGATAAAAACCTGATGAGCTTTCTGTACCTTTTCCTCCCACTTTTCCTTTCCCATATGCACCCAACGTTTACTTATAAAATCTTCTACTGGAGGAGGTTGGGACCCATACTTATAGCCATGGAAGCCATGGGATACCCATACCAAGGATCTCTGGAGCCCTTTGTGCTTTTCAGATAATTCTATTAATATTATCTTCTTTTGCATTTGAATTTATTCTGTCCAGATCTGTTGCACTGGTCTGCTGACTGCTAACCTTGTTGTTCCAGATTACGTCAGTCTATTATGTTGCCACTAATTAAAACCTTTACTAATGGCCAAATTATTTAATAAGGGTTTTTTATTTATATTTGACAGATAATTCTAACTGACATATTTAAATATGTCATCTGTGTGAATGTTAAACCAGAATTTATCTGATGGTTTAAGAAGTTTGTGATTTCATTCTTTAACATCCTGCATATGTTTAATGTGCAAATACATGTCATCAGCAGGTTTATTTCATCATAACAATTTTTGCCTCTAAGAAATAAAGGTAGTAAGAAGCTAAGATGAAAATGAGGTGCTGCTTGGCTTTTGGAGCTTCTGTTTTGTGGTTTTATTTTGATTATCTCTAAAGTGCTACAACAGCAAAAAACTTCCAAGGCTAAGCGATTCATTACTACCTTCGCAGTGAAATAGAAGTTATACTGAAGACCACCTAAAAGGCTTGCATAGGATGCAACATTAAAAAAATGGTGTGCTGAATGCTTAGACAGAGAGATCACACTGATTTCCCATTTATATAATACTAAGCGTGAAGAAATGTACTGAGTTTAGTTATTGCCCTTTTCCTGGGGTTGACGCAGTTGCAGGGAATGATCAGATTCTCTTCAAATGTGTTTTATCATAAGATATAGTCTAAGCACTTCTAGTTATTTCATCTGCAAGTTGCTTCATCCTTCTTGGCATCCTGCCTAATCTGGTTGTTTTTCCGTGTTCTAGACCAACTTCATCTTTCTCGAACCTTGCTAATTAGAAATTTAGGTGGTTAGGAGATTTTTTTTCTTAGTTTAACAGGATTTACTAGGAAAGAAGAAGGAAGAGGAGTAGTTGGCAGTCTCAAATAGTCAAACATAAAAGAATCAGTTCTTCTTCATTTTCACAGCATTTTTTATATCATCTTTTCATGTCCCAGTCATGTTTCCTCTAGCCTCTTGCATTAAGAACATGAGGAGAAGCAGCCCAGGCTAATTATATACTTCATAAAGAAACAGAAATGACATCTTTTTAACAAAGATTTTCTGGAAGGTGAAGAGAGAGTCTTTTAATTACAGTTGGGATTTCTTTGTAGCAATTGTTTCACTTCTGTGTTTAGGGAAAAAATCAGATTTTTGTGTAATTAGCCTTTACTGCATGATCACACCACTGTTTTCCTTCAACAGAAGATGCAGTTCCAAAGAAAGTTGTCTGCCACTTCAGTGGAAAAACATACGCAGATGAGGAACGCTGGGACATTGACAGCTGCACACACTGCTACTGCCTGCAGGGTCAGACTCTCTGCTCCACTGTCAGCTGCCCACCTCTCCCATGCGCTGAACCCATCAATGTGGAGGGAAGCTGCTGTCCCATGTGTCCAGGTAATGTGATGTGACAGCCCAGTTTACTGTTTCCTGGTTTACCAGGACCAATAATAAGGGGGTTTTAAATTGTTTTTTGAATTTCAGTCCATGTTTGAACAGTATCACAAAGACAACGGAGTTTTAGGCTTCAGGAAAATTAATATTCTTAACAGATAGGCACATTGTGCAAAGACAGAGTTTGAATTTCACTTATTCTGAGAACTGTGAACTCAAAAATTAGTTGCTTGCCCCTGGTTTGTCCTTTCACAAGGTTATGGAAATATGTTAATGAAGTGGGAAAATTAATATCCTTACATCTCTGCAGATTATATCACAGTGATGAATATTTATGTCTTTTCTGAGCGTCTTCGTTACTTTTCAAATACCACATTGCTTTATTTATCACTTTAACTTGGCTTAAAAGCAATATGAAATTGTCTTGGCGATGGGCAGAAGGGTCATAAGAATTGCAACTGGTTTTTAATGTAAGTCCTGACATACTTCTGCAGAAGTTTGCTCATCTTAGTCAGCTGGTAACTACTTCTGACAGGACAACTGAGGAGATTCAGCAGTACCACCTCTTGCAATTCCCCTGCTTTGAGAATTGCAAGTAAAGGAAGGCAAAGAACCCAGCAGTGACTGTTTACATATCAGCTGGGAAGATGTAGCCTTCCCTTCTTATTTTCTTTTTTTTTCTTTTTTTTTAATACTGCAGAGGAGCAAGCCTGTAGCGAAGCATGTATTCTGAAACGGTATTTTCAAAAGCAAATTTGTCCACACCACTCCATCATCCCATTCACATTAGGATAATGATAATGGCAGCAAGCATGTATCCTGTATACATTATGAAACAAGTTTTAAACAAAATCCCAGACTAATAATGATGAAAATTCTGAAACAAATAAAAGAATTCGTAGGACAAAGCACTGCAGATGGCCGAGTGTATTTCCTGAATTAAGAGCAGCACTGAGAAGTTAAGCAGCCTGTAATTTGTGAAACACATTTATCTCATTTCACAGAGATGTATGTACCTGAACCCACTAACATTCCCATTGAGAAGACAAATCATCGAGGAGATGTTGAACTAGAAGTACCAAACTGGCCAACACCGAGTGAAAATGACATAATCCACATTCACAGAGGTGAGATCTGACACAAACTGGGATAACATAGGTCTGTTTATTCCCCATGTTTAATGCATCTACTTGTTCTGTTCAGGTAGCATCTATATAATGCTTTGAAAAGGTGGTTTTCTGAGAATATTCTTCAGTGCATAACTCTTACATGCATTTTGCTTTGAGTAAAGATGAGTCAGTCTATTAAATTACATTTATGCAATTTGGTCTCATTATCATTCCATCTTCTGCATGGAAGAAACATCTGTGTTGGTATGATGGAGTTCTGCAATGTCTTTTCTGATTCAAAAACTAGAAAGAAGACCATTGGAGTTGATAGACCCTAATTTGATTTTCTTCTGTTGATAAACAAACACGGAAAACATGTACCCCAGCTTAACATGTATCGTAGGCAAATGTCAGAGCTTATAAAAAAAAACATCTCAGGTATAATGAGACAGAGCTAATAAAGTTGTCTAAGTATGTAAATATATCTTTTTTTAAAAACTGTGCTGCAATCATTATTCCAGGGAAGAGGAAACACTCTATGACACTGTCTTTAACATTTTCTAATTGAAGGACAACCTAAACTTGTATATATTTTTTTTAAATCTGAGGATGACCTCATAGCATACTATTGTTTGGAGAAAGGATGCATGAAATTTAACTGCTTTACAAAATTCTAAGCTTACACTTTTATAATTACAGCTTTTTCATTTCTCACAGGCATTAGTAGCTGGGTTGCAACTATCCTGGCTAGGGATTATAAACACACACTGCAAAGTGTGGAATTTTTTATATGTCATTGAAAATTACCATTCTTTGAAATTACATGCAAAACTTCTTACATTCTAAGTAGACTGCCAGTGGTCTGTTTTCACAGACTGAGTGGTGAAAGTATTGTAATATGGTCTCAACAGATGAGAGAGCAAACACATCATATTTGTCCTACCAGTTTTAAAAGTTAAGAAAAAAAAAAAAAAAGACTTCCATCAGCATGGAAACAGTCTGTTTTGTTTTTTTTTTAATAAATGGGAATTTGGTTGTGATCAGATAAGATGATGCAAACATAATTGAGCTAAAAGGTTATTGTCAGACTTGTTCATTATTGTGCTTTAGGTTCCTGCTATTTCCTCTCTTTTTGATGGCCTTTTGCTGCCTAATATAGTCACTATACAAGGTACTAGCTTTTGGTTGTTCTAATTTATATCAATAAGGTGACATTTCAGGAGTGAAAGTCCAAATTCATATGAGTGGCAAGATGTATGACTGAGACTTTTGGAATTACATCCTTCATTATGGCCAAGGCCCATTTGTAATCTCTAGCAAATGCCTTCCAGATATGAACCATCTCCAGGGAGAGTACCGGAGTGGCAGTGGGCCACACCCCAGTGAGGATGCCTCGGTTGGCTCTGTTGCCTTGGTGACAATTCCAATCATGATAGCACTGTTACTGATCATCGTTCTCCTGCTCATCAATCAGAAGAAGCAGTGGATTCCTGTGTCCTGCTACAAAGCTCCAACAAAGGTGCTGTGTTTCTGTCTATTTCCAGACTTTCACATTTTTTGGAAACCAGGAACAAAACATTGTTGTAAATGTTCAGCAGTAAAGAGGCTGTTGAAGTCTTGGAAACAAGCTGCTGCACACTTGGGGCGACAGGTTAAGCCCTTGCGTGGTGCTAGATTAACAGAGACCAGTTTAACCAGCCCAGCTGGGATATGAGAATACCAGAGTTCCATTCAGAAGATAAAAAATGGTGATTCTAAGGAGAGTGTTGGTCTGTTACTGTGCCTGGCATAAGCGTTTACCAACTTTGGCAAAAGTCTAGACTCTTTCATTGCCAGCTTTATTTCATTTTGTGCTTGAACGAAAAGAACTTTTTTAATTATGTATGGAATACAAAAATTGTTTAACTTAGTATTTCCTTTCTCTTTTAACAGCCCTCTTGCCTAAACAATCAACTGGTGTATGTGGACTGCAAGAAAGGTACCATGGTCCAGGTGGACAGTTCTCAGAGGATGCTAAGAATTGCAGACCCAGATTCAAGATACAGTGGATTTTACAGCATGCAGAAACAGAACAACCTACAGGCAGATAATTTCTATCAAACAGTTTGAAGAATTGCACCCTTACCAAGGATTAAGAAAGAGAGAAGAGAGAGAGAGAAAGAGAGAGACAGTCTGCTATTAAAATAAAACTAGAATTGTGCACTTGCTTAGTGGATTGTATTGGATTTGTGACTACATGTACAGCTCTAAGACCTTACTGGGATGAGCTCTGACTCCTGCAATGTGCCAGAAAAAGCATTCCCACTTTTCCTTGAGATAACTGACCAAGTGTTTTCTTAGAACCAAAGTTTTAAAACTTGTTAAGATGTATTTGCTTGTAACATAGCTATAGAGGTTTTTTGGGAGGGGGAATCAGGGGCTAGGGATAGGCAATGAGTTAAAAGGAAGCTTCATAGAAGAAAAGCTGGTCATGCTTGGCTAGAGAAGAAAACAAACTGCCGAGCAGCAGGATAGTGGTTTTCCTTGTTGCTCTGAAATTGCATCTGTTGCACCCAAAGCCTAACCCCAGATGAAAAAAATATGAAAAGGTCTGATTTTTTTTTTCAGCTGTTGCTACAGTAATATACTCCTAGAACAGAATTTGTCACATCACAGGTGTGGTGTAGCTGCAAATATTTTTCTATATGATGAGAAGCTGCAGTAGTTAATGAAATAGCAAGGAAAAGATTATAGCAGAAAATAAAGGGTGGGTTTATTAAGGATGTATAAAATTATACCTTGTGCTGCTTTTTGTTTTTATTTTTGTTTTCTTCAAAGCTGATTGGCTAGATTAGCCAGACTTCAGCAGAGTTAGCAAATGACTGAGGCCTAAGTAATTCCTGATGTGAGCACTGGATCTTTTGACAGCAGTATTGAAGGAAGGAAGGAAAAGTCAAGAACACCATGCAGTTCCAGGGGCTTTTGTTTGTTTGTTTTGTCTGTTGTGGTTTTGTTTTGTTATTTTATATCAATCTCTGGTTGTTCATACAGGAGAAGGAAAAATATTTTTGTTGGACAAAGCTCTTGCTTACAAGAGAGTAAAAAAGAGACTGTTTTAAGGTTGTTGTTTTTTTTCCTGTTGATGTTCTTATTTACTGGTATGCAGATTTAGAAACTACTTCCATGCTAGGAAGCTGCTTAATTTTAATTGTATATTACTCAAGCACCTTTTTTGAAGCTCAGAAAAAAAGGAGATCATGCTTCTTTAAACTTTAGCATTATAGGAATATTTATGTAAATATAATTATGCTAAAACCAACAAAAAGTATTTGTATGTTTGTGTATATATATGTATATACACATGCATGTAGGTATACATATGTATATATACGTGCATGTGTATATATACTATACATATATATACTGTATATATAAAATACTATGTATACAGTATATATTTTTTCTATTTTTTTTTTCTTGTTGAATGTATTTTTATCTGAGAGAGATTTTACCCAGAGCAGAAACAAATAACAGGCATTTCTTATCAATCCTTAATCGCTTGTGAGTTTAGGAAAGACAAGAAAAGAGCATCTCATTCTACCTACAGTTTGATTTGTTTTGATTTGATTTGAAAGTGTTTGTGTGTGTGTGTGTGTGTGTGTGTGTGTGTGTGTGTGTGCACTCTTGTGTTGGCGTGTGTACAGTACGTGCACGGTTATAGCAGTAAGCGTTGCTCTTGCTACTTGCTACATTTCAGGGTGTTTCTTATTTTTCTTTTCCTGCTTAGCCTTAAAAAGGCTTTTTAATGAATGCATTGGCTAGAGACACTGATGACAATATACATGCAGCACTAATCAACTCCATAAAGTAACACCATGAGCTCCTGGATTTTGGGGTTTTTTTCTTTTTTTTTTTTTTTCAAACAATTGTTTGAAACAACTACTGGAATATTGTCCACATTAAGCTGGAAGTTTGTTGTAGCTTGCCTCATTTATAACTCTGACTGTATAATACAATGTTACTTTCCAAACAGGTCTTGGCACTTTTATACTAATTACCCATTTGTGCATTGCCTTTTTTCTTTTACAAATGCTTCTCATAAGAGACACAGATACCCAGTATGCTTAATGTGAAAAGAAAATGTATTTTTTGTAAAGGAACTCTCAAGTATTGTTCTAAATACTTGGTCAGAGGTTGCTGAACTTTAAAACTGAAAAAAAAAAACCTAATTTATTATTATAATGACCTAATTTATTAATCTGAAGATTAACCATTTTTTTTTTGTTTTAGAATATCAAAAAGGTGTTCTAGCTGTTTGCATCAAAGAAAAAAATAGGTGTATCATTAAGGGTCAACATTTTTTCTGCTTATATAACTTCAGTTTCCAACCACCAGTAAGAAAAAATGTGGTCTCCCCAGTGTTTTGTACTCAATCTGATGTTGAAACAGAGATGTTTCTGTCCAGTTACTGCAGAGATTTTGTCAAGACAAAACATCCATTCCTTGCATAAGAGTAAGCAGTCTTTATCCAGAAATTGTAAATGCTTGCTTTTGTTTTACAATCAAGGCCATATTCTGAAAATATTAGCAGGATATAGGACATGGTGTAAAATGGTTTTTTTTATTATTATTATTTTATTATTATTATTTTAAAGATATGATTTATCCTATGTGCTGTATCCATTACACTCTTTTACTTTGGTTCCTGTTGTGCTCTTGTAAGAGAAATGCAGATATAATTTTCTGAAAAATAGATGCATATGTGGCACTCGGAGTGCACTGCGGTTCAGCAGATTGCTTGTTTACTTTTTTAACTGTAAGGCGGTTTCTTGTAATTTGGCTCTTGGCAGCACAATAAAAAGTTTTAAACCTATTGATGTGTATTTTCTTAAATGTTCACATTTATTACTTCCACACACTAGTCCTTGAAACATTAGTTTATAGATTGATATTATGGTGGGTAGGAATTCATTTTATTGTTATGCTGACCTGAGATTGGAACAGCTCAGAACACACTGTGAGTAAAGAACAGTTTGCAGTTACAGAAAGTTCTGCATGTTATACTAAAGAATTTTAACATTGGAGAGCTTTGTAGAATTCCACATACTTTCAGCATTCAGTAAAGATGAATCTCTCAAATGCAAAGTTAGGCCTCTGCCCTGCCATGGAGAGCATATGATCTAGTCATACCTGTCAGAAAGCTGTGCTTAATCATACGAGACTCTGATACGAGGTCCTTTAAAAAGTGTGTGGAATCACAATTTGTACTTCATGGACTTCCCGAGCCACAGATCATTTATTTATCTATTAGCCTATAATGTTTTTTTCTTCTAGTAATTTGTAAGTTAATGGACTTGATGTAAAGTTCTGGTATGTAACTTCCTGAGGCAAGGCGGTTTTCAGCTTGACTACATGCTGTGTGAACAACTTTTTTCTTTTCTTTCTTTGAAATCATCTTCCTAATGGTTTCATGTAATATCCCTGATACTGCACTCAAATCAGCAGTAGATCAGTATCTATATGGCACCTGTTAATTTAGAGACCTGTATCTTGTCTCCATTTTTTCTTGAAAAGCCAACTATACAGTTCTTTGGAAGCAGTTCCATACCTTATGGCAAATCTTGCCATTCTTTGTACTTCTCATTCATGTACTTCCCTGTACATCCTTTTAAGATGAAGGGTAAGGATTAGGGTCCACATTGTTCAAACATAGTACTCCCTGGATCTAGCATCGTATTTACAGTTTGGATTGCTACTCCCACTGCATTAATGTTCTTGCAGCGCTAGCTGCAATAATCCAAAATGCCCAAGTACTAATAGTTACTTAATTGACTTTGGCTAGGATAGATCAGTATTTATTTGCATCCCTTTACATTTACATATGCTGAATTTCCTCTCCTTTCCTAGTTAGCTATTTCAGCATTTTTGCTCCTTCCCAAGACTAAGGCTACGGATGACATATGTGTTCTAGAAGAGCATCTTCAAACTCTGCAAACATTTTTATTTTTCATCAGAATGAAACAGAAAACATCACTGCATCCACATTTGAACACTCAAAGTAGTCCTGGTCTCCTTTGCCTTACTCACACTGAAAGGATCATATTTGGAATGCCTCTGCCCACCAGCGTTTGTCAGCTTGAAAAAGCTATAGCTGAGTAGGATAGAATGCAAATCCTTTAAATGACCTCAGTAGCATGCAGATGCCTAACAAGGAAAGCATTTGCTCCTTGCTGTGTTTCTTTCCAAACATCAAGTAAGAAGTTCAAAAAGAAACTTCAAAGAGCCTCAAATCAACTTAGGAAGTTAAGCAGAGAAAATTCCTGGTATGTACATTGGGATATCAAAAGTTTATAGCGGCTCAAAAAAAAAACAAAAAAAAAAAAAAAAAAAAAAAAAAAAAAAAAAAAAAAAAAAAAAAAAACCAAAACAAAAAAACCACTAAATAAAACCTAGATAAAAAAAGCCCATCCTACGGCCCTATTGTCTGTAGGAGCACAATATAAAGCTGGCAAAGGATGGGCACAGGAGTGACAGTGCTGGTAAGAACCAAGTATCTCCAAAGCTTAGTTTCCCAACTATTGGGTGGCTGAACGAAGGCAAAAATCGTGAGAAAGCCACGCAGCAGGTTACAATGAAACTACTGCAAATGACTCCTTCCATGGCAGGGGCGTTGGTAGTAGGTGGTCTTTTTAATGTCTCTTCCAACCCAAACTATTCTATGCTTCCCTCTTGTGCCCAATGAGCTGCCCCTGCTCGGAGCGGGGATGTGCGTCAGTACAGACACCGATCTGCGGGGCTGTGTGCGGCCGGGCCCCGCTGGCACAGCCCTGCCCTCGGGGCGAGGGCTGGCCCGGCTCCCCGCGGCACAGCCGGGGCCTGTCGGCCCGGCCCCGCCCGCCGAGCGCTGCCGCTCCGCGCCCGCCCCGAGCCACGGGAGGCGCCGGGAGCGCGCACGGCCGGGAGCGCGCGGCCCCGCGTCCCCGGCTGCGGTGGCGGCGGAGATGGCGGCGGCGGCGGCCTCGCAGCGGGACCCGGGGGACTGGCAGGACTTTTCGGGATTCCAGCCCTCCGCGGGGAGCGGCCCCGAGAGCGCCCGCGACAAGGGCGGCTGGGGCGGCGGGGATCTCGGGGCGAAGCTGTCCCTCTGCTTCGAGCCGCCGCAGGCCCGGGCTGGTGGCGGCGGCGAGAGCCGTGTTCCGCTGCGGCCTCTCACGGAGCAGAGCGCATTGCAGGACGACGAGTGAGTGCGGGCTGGGGGGTGCGGAGGGGGCGGTGGGGAGTGGGGGGGCCCGGCCCGGCCTGAGTGGACAGCGCGGCCTGACAGCCCTGTCCTAGAAAGCGCTGCCCCTGGGCCTTGGCGAGCCCCGGCAGGGCTTGTGGGCTGCAGGAATGGAGCCTTTCCCCGCCCCCGGGGCTGCAGCTGCGAGCGGCCGGGCCCGGGCAGGAGGGCACATTCGGCCTCCGCGGCGCGGTTTTGACTTGGAGCCCTCTGGCTTTATTCCCGTGACGGCCAGGGAAGCGTGTGAGCATCCCTGAGCCTCTGACCCCGCCGGGCTAACGAGAAGTACCTGTCCTGAAGTTCAGAGTGACCGGGGGTAGTGTTTGTTTAGCGTCTTGGAAAGTGCCCACTGTCTCTGTTAGTGCAGAAAGCAAATGAAGAACAAAATCTCAGCTGCAACCGTGATAATTGTGGGGTTTTTTCCCCTGAGCAATAAAGCTTTTCTGACTCATGCTGATTTCCAGTTTTTAAACATTATTTTACAAATATTTATACTTCTAATTTTATAGTAAATTCAGTCAGCTTATCTTCATTAAAAATACTGCAGTTTTACTTTAAGGTAACAAAATTGTATGTCGTCCTCTAAGAGATGAAAAAAAAAAGCCTGTCAGCAAGAGACTAGATATCTATGGTATAAACAGTGAGGTAAGTTCAGAGAACCATGAGTCACGTTGGGCAGTGATGGGGCTCTGTCTGCTCTTCTGTGTCTGGCTCGGCCATTCCTCTGACCTCCTCTGAGCCTTAGCTAGGCAACCACTCCAAACATCCACCCACAGCAGAAAGCCAGGGCTTGCTGGGTGACGAGGGAGCAGCCTGCTCGCAGAGCTGCTCTGTTGAAAGTCTGAACTGGTGTACCAGGGTGGGTCTGCGTGTGCAAGGCTCTGGTACTGCCACTGTAGAAACAGCTACGATTGACAGAGTGGTGGGATAAACTCAAAAAGAGTGCTGCTGGATAAAACTAAATTCTTTCAAAGTTTTAGTATAATTTGTGTATGTTTGTTGTTCTATCATAAAGGGAAAGAAAAAAAAAAACTGGTTCAGAATTTGCTACTCAGTCTAATTCCTTATACTAATGTGCAGAAGGAAAACAGGAACAGCATTAGGAATGGAATATATAGCTCAGTTAAAATTTTGTTAAAGGAAGGGCTCATCCACCCCCAAAAAAGATTTTGAATATGGTTATATAATTACCATGGAAGCTGTCTCTTCATTTATTCTATTTCACTTCTGTGCATACATTGTTTAAAAAGGGAAATAAATTATGTTTATCAAAAAACATTTTCTCTTAGCTTCAAAATTAAAAATATTGTGAGTAACTTGCAGATGAATATTTAGGGAGGAAGATATAGTTACTGATACAGGTATACAGTCATTAAGAATATGTTTATTGCTGATCGATTGCTGCTTATTTTAAGGTCTGTGTTTTTGTTCCTTTATTCTTCTCTCCAGGATTTGGAATGCTTTGACTGATAATTATGGTAACGTGATGCCAGTTGACTGGAAATCTTCCCACACCAGAGCTTTGCACTTGCCAACACTGAATCTTTCAGAAAAAGGGGTAAGTTCTGATCAGCAGAGGTACCCTCTTTGGATCTTTTTTACTCAGCAGCAAAATAAAACTATTTGCATTTGTGTAAAAAAGTGTCGTTATTAAATGACTGAAAATATTTTTAATGCTTGCCATTATACATGAGAGGTTTTTAAAAATAAAAAATCTAACAACCATTGATGTATGTTTGCATCTCCTTGGGTTGAAATAATGCAGGGTTAGTTTTAGATGAATGTTCATTAGAGCCAGAGCATGATAGAAAGAAATGTAAAATGAGAAAGTGCTTCACATAAAATCTTTCTACTGTCTGATTCATGTTGGACACTGATGTGGGTAAGGGAGGAAAAAAGGCAGGGATACCCTGATTTAGTAAATCCAGTATGGACTTTTTTTAAGTTCATCTCAGTCTGCAGTCAGATGGCTTCTTTAACAGGAAAGGTGGCCCAGGAGACACTGAATTGCCAGAGTTTGTTTTGTTTTCCTTATTTAATGGTCTGGGGAGAGAACAGGGAATTAAGAGCTTCAGAGAGGTTTATAGAAAGGGTTGTCCTCCGATCTTCTTGTAAGTGGATTAAAACGTTTCAGGAAGAAAAGCCAGGAGGAATTCCCATCTTAGGGGTCTTCTGAGGAAAAGAGTGGCTTATCTTTTAAACATAGTGAAGTTGAGTTACGTTGTAAAAATATCTGTCTGTGTAACTTGAGAATAGGGTAATGCTTTGACTTCAGCCATCATTAGATAATCCACAGATGCTTTTAATGTGACAGGAGTGAAGATTGTTCTGCTGAAGAGGATATTTTTGGGGTTCAGCAGGGGAAGGTTCCAATTTGGAACTCACTTTATTGATTTGAGACTGATGTTTATCCCTTGAATTTGACTTGTGTTTATTCTAATTTTTATTAGAGTGCTTGTTCAGATTTTCTAAGTGGTTTTAGAGTAATTACATCCTTACATTTTAAGTAAAAATACAAGCCCCCCCTGCTGTGACCTGGTGTCACTGAAAAATGGACTGGAAGACTAATGGATTTCTCGATAAGGAACTAAGTA